CGAAAAACATAAAGAAAAAAACAAAAAAAACGAAAAATATTAAAGAAATGAAAAAATATATAGATCCAAGTTTAGTTTTGACTAAAAATAAAATATAAATGAAAATAAATAAGTTAAAAAACATAAACCGAGTTTTGGACATGTAGTGTAATTTTTTGCAAACTAAAGTGACAAAATTTGAACTTTAAACCCAAATTTATGACTGATTTTGCAGAAAAAGATAACGAGGTTAACCATAAAACCTGTTAAATAGGTTAGAGTGATAACTCTGCGTCCTATTTATGGACATAGCCAACAAAAAAAATAATAGAATTTTTCCCAATTACGCGTTAAAATGTTGCGGCTTTTATGGTATTTGCCCAAAACTCAATACAAATATACTTACCGGTTCGTTAACAAAATTTTAAAAGAATTTATAAGGTTATAATGACATTACAAATATTCTTATAATTTCATATTCAGAGTTGTCTTTAGGTATTTGGTTAGTAAATTGAATACTTGTACTTAATTACAAATGAAATCAAAGTTTATAGGGATAATGACTTGCAAGGGTAACAAACTTTTAGCTTTGTTGACATTTAGTCTCTAAACTTTTTTTCGTACTTGATTTACCTCTGAATTATTTGAAATTGTCACATTTTACCCTTATGAACGGTTGTAACTGGTTAAAAGGGTAAAATGTGAACAATTTCAAATAACCCAGGAGTAAATCACGCACGAAAAAGTTTAATGATTAAATATGAACAAAATTGAAGGTTTGTTACATTTTCAAGTCATTATATCATAAATGGTTCTAAATGTTGTTAAGAATGAGCACAAGCGGAATATTGAGGTCACACAAGTGAGTATGTTGTAATATTCGTGTGATATACCTTTAGTGTATAAGGTACAAAAAAATAACATTAAAAAAATAGAATAGGAACGACTTCAATCACGTAGAAACTGAAGGAAAAAAAGATTGAGTTGGATTCAAACATTTACGTAGGACATAGGCGAGAGTTTTCACTCTAAAAGGTGGAGATGGTCATTATAGATCATATGAAGAAAGAGAACATATGATAAAGAAATGTGAAAATAATGTGATGTTAGATTTGAACGAGGGTTTTCACTTTACAACAGCAAGAGCTTTGATTAAAGAGTGTAGATGCATAAGATCATGGCCATGCTGTTGTAATGACTTGAAAGGGTAACGAACTTTCAGTCATTTTCACATTTAGTCACTGAACTTTTTTCATGTTTTATTTACCTCTAAATTATTTGAAATTGTTCACATTTTACCGTTATGACCAGTTACAACCGATCATAAGGGTAAATGTGAACAATTTCAAATAATTCATGGGTAAATAAAGCACGAAAAAAAGTTCAGTGACTAAATGTAAACAAATCTAAAAGTTCGTTACC